TGATCCCAACCACATCGATTTTTGTTATCTGTTCTTCTTATTATGTGTTTTTTATTGACATTTTTCATTTTTATTTACATACTTTTATTGTTTGAGAGTTCTCCGGTCCAAACAGTACAATGCATACATATGATATTAGAACAGTTTAAATTTTTTTTTTTATCAAACTAGACTAAACCTTGTATTTCAAACTGTTCCAACCCAATAATTTGCCTTTGTATTGTCCCCCACAACCACTGATCCCAACTACCCAATTCTGCTAAATTTAATGTCATTTTTCATTAAGTTTAGTAATTAAAATGCTTTTTTTTTGTTGTTAATTTTACTTAAGAAAAATAGATAAATGATTTAGATTGAAAACTAATCAAAATATTAAGGTTTAAATTGATCAAATTAAAAATTCAAGATTTATTTTGTTATAAGGATCAAACTCTCATTTTTTTTTTCTTTTGGATAATTTCTCCTAACTAATATTGTTGGAATGAAATAAAATAGAATGATCAATTTATTTTATACATTATAAATATTCATTATTGACTAAAAAATAATTATTACGAAACAAGATTCAATACAAAATTAAGAGACATTTATTTTAATTAAAGAGACAACACTATATTTTAAAATTAGAAAATTGGAGAGATATGTTTCACTAATTTTCCTTTTTATTATTGTATGGTAAATCAATAAGGAATTTATTTATTTTTTATTTAATTCTATCGAATAAAATATTTTGATAAGTGGCCATTTGTAATTTTTTAAAGTATAGAGAACAATCTACATTTTAGGCAAATAGGGATGTATTTGTAATTTTTCCATTATGGAAATGACGAATTAGTTTCACTGAATTTTTTTTTAATTAAAAATATAGAAAAAAAGTTAAAAAAAAAAGTTTAACCATTCTAATAAAATAAATTATGAGTTTTTAATTGTGTCAATTTAAACTTTAATTTTTTAATTTAAATTATTTGTCTATTATGTCAAATAAATTGATGAAGGATTAACATTTAAGTCATTATATTCAATATATTTCGAACCAATTCCAAATTATCTCTATTTCCAAAACTATTTCAAATCAACTTTAGCTCTATTACCAAAGTTGCATTAACTGAACCAATATCTAAGTTGAAGTATGCAGTACATCATATTTTCAAATTAATCGATTTTTTTTTAAAATTTTTTATGAAACTTTTTAAAGAAGTTATTTGTTACTAATTCATATAAAAATTTAAAATACAATGAATTTGTATATCGAATTAATAAAAAAAAATATTTATGAAAATTGTGAAAAAAAAAATGTGTTAAATTTAAATTTGGATGATCAATGTAGAATGAGTAACTAATTTTTAAAATTTTGGTTGGTTTAAAATTATTTAAAAATAATTTTTAAATTTTTAATTCATATATATTTTTTATATTTATAATGAAATAATGAAATTTGTTCATATATGGCCATTTGTTTTTCAGATACATATACTTAAAAAGTTTAAAAAAAACGACTGGAGAAATCTTTAAAAAATTTAATAAATGCAAAAAATATATATTAATTTTTTTTGTATATTTGTTAATATTTAGCGATTTTTTTTTTAATTAAAAAAAATCATAAATTTTATACGTTTTAAGTGTATTTAAATTGAGTGAATCTAAAAAGAGCTCTGCTACGTAGCTCAAATTTGAGCTTGGCTCGAATGGCTCGAATTTCATCTTACTGGTCGTCCGTGTAACGCCCTGTATTTTATTAGTCGGATAACATTATCAATATTCATTAATTTAGTCTATTTACAAATGACAATTCATTTTTTGATGAATAAATAAATATACATGTTCCCTCTCGCTACACAACAATGTCATTTATATACAAATAAAAGAAATGCCCTGAGGCTTACATCCATATTACATACAATGAAAAAAATACTGATCTCTGAACCACGAGTATATCTTACAACCTCAAAATAAAATCATAAGATTGTACCATGTCCTAATATTTGAAATCTTCAATTACCTGTGAAGTTCATTAATGTGGGATGAGCACTAATGCCTGGTAGGAATCTCGTAGTTCTAAAACAATAACTAACACATAGATAGAAATGATCATGCATGCAGGGTGATACTATATAGTAAGGTGACGTTTTGTATGGCCAAAATATCATAAGTAGAGTATCATTTTCTCAAAATTCATTTGAACATTCAAGAGAACTTTATAAACATTTATCACCGAACATTCAAAGACTAAAAAAGTTAAAAAAAAAAAAAACAACTGGAGAAATCTTTAAAAAATTTAATAAATACAAAAAATATATATTAATTTTTGTTTTGTATATTTGTTAATATTTAGCGATTTTTTATTTATAAAAAAAAAGATCATAAATTTTATACGTTTTAAGTGTATTTAAAATGAGTGAATCTAAAAAGAGCTCTGCTACGTAGCTCAAATTTGAGCTTGGCCCGAATGGCTCGAATTTCATCTTACCGGTCGTCCATGTAACGCCTTGTATTTTATTAATCAGATAACATTACCAATATTCATTAATTTAGTCCATTTACAAATGACAATTCATCTTTTGATAAATAAATAAATATACACGTTCCCTTTCGCTACATAACAATGTCATTTATGTACAAGAAAAATGCTTTGGAGCTCTAATTTTTGAGCTCTAAAGCCAACTCTAATGAGTTAGAGTTGGCAGTGGGTTCCACTCACTGTGATGTGATGTTTTGGTCTTAGTTTTTTTTTTTCCTCTCTCATTGCCATGTTATTAGTGCTCCATTAGAGTACCAAAATTAGTGCTCTGAATAATTGTTGTATATACAAATAAAAGAAATGCCTGAGACTTACATCCATATTACATACAATGAAAAAAAATATTGATCTCTGAACTATGAGTATATCTTACAACCTCAAAATAAAATCATAAGATTGTACCACGTCCTAATATTTGAAATCTTCAATTACCTGTGAAATTCATTAACGTGGGATGAGCACTAATGCATAGTAGGAATCTCATAGTTCTAAAATAATAACTAACACATAAATAGAAATGATCATGCATGCAGGGTGATACTATATAGTAAGGTGACGTTTTGTATGCCCAAAATATCATAAGTAGAGTATCTTTTCTCAAAATTTATTTGCACATTCAAGAGAACTTTATAAACATTTATCACCGAACATTCAAAGACAACCGTCGCACACTCTATTCCCACTTATTTATCCGTTACATCATATCAACATTTACCATCACTAGTAATTCAACTTGAATCAAGAATATAAACCCCTTTCAATTCAATTTCTCAAATATTTACAATTGATTTCAAATCACTCTTTCAAACAAACATTTGTTTTTAATCTATTAAATAAATCCTCAACCTAATTAAAAACCCACTTAGACCAAAATTTCGAATCTAGGATTTTTAAGAAGACTCATCATTTATAAGATTAGAAGATTCACCCATCATAAGATCATTCTTCACAAATTCACACAAGATTCTTCATTTTTACTTAAACTTCCGACCCAATTATACCACAATTACCATAAATCCAGTCCTTAACTCAAATTGATATTACTATTACTCACAAAATAAAACTCATAATCTTCAGGTCACAAAACAACCCGGTGAGTTCATCATCATTAACCCCTTACCCAATTACCATTTCTTTTAAGTAATTTCTACATGCATTTCTCCTCTGTACAAAATAACACAACACATTGAAATTTCATAAGTTCATTACGAGTCATACACATTATTTCCGACTCAACACATTTCTCAACACATACCATCTTTTGCTAGCTTGATATGACGGAATAACGAGCACCCAACTCACAACACCTTCCACATTTTGCTGACTTGATACGGCGGGATAGTGGGCACCCGAAAATATTTTACACAATCCCCACATTTACTGACTATTACACGACAAGATGCGGGCACCCAAAAACATTTAATACAATCCCCACATTTACCGACTATTACACGGCAGGACATGGGCACCTAAAAAGCATTTAATACAATCCCTACATTTACCGACTATTATACGACAGGATGTGGGCACCCAGAAACATTTAATACAATCCGCACATTTACCGACTATTATACGGTAGGACGTGAGCATGCCTCTTCCTAATATCTTCAAAGAAAAAAATGAAAAAAAAAAATCAAATAACTTCATGGTGACATCATGACATGTGAGCCAAAGAAGTTCAAAACAAAAAGAGAGAGCTGTGATGAAAGAGAAAGTTGCATTACATGTATAAAACTAGGATTGTTAGATGGCAAACTAGAAGAGAATGATAATATGACTTCAACTTCAGCAAGTAATGAAAGAAAACACCCAAGGAATGTGATGATGTTTGATAGTAACAAAAACTTTCCTTCCCTAGCTGTTATATATATTTAATTATTTATACATGTACATAACTTTTGGCAAGTTATGTAGGAAAAAAAAATGAATATTTAACAACCTTAATTTAAATCGCTTTAGTGTTTGTTTGATTCAACATGACTTGGATGGCAAAGCATACATTAATATGATCTTTTGTGGGCATGGTCCCCAAAACAAGCATTTGTACAGCTTAAATCACCTGTAATATGAATAGAATGGGTGCCAACAACCATAGTTGACCATCGACTCCAGCAGTTTCTCCCCAAACAACGTCCATTCTCCTAGACTGCAATTAACAACGGGATCAAATGGTAAGAGTCATCCCAGACCTGCAGAGGAGAACAATTGCAATAAACATTATATGCCCACCAAAAAAAAGTTCTATTTGTATTTCGGTGGGCCATAAAAAACTAACACAGATCGGCTAGAAGACAAAAACATGTTTATTGCAACCAGCAAAAGCAAAAGAACTCATTGAAGTTCTGCAAACCATGCAGGACGACAAGGTTTCACAAAGAGCACACAACCAAGTGCAGACAAACACGCAAAGTAGACTGCAGAAAGAATTGAAGATAATAAAGGCAAAAATGAAGCATGCACAGAAATTCGTTGGTGAAAGGAGTTTTTTTTTTTTCTTTTCAATTACACCTTGCCGAGTGCAATATGTGTACAAAGCCTTTGCCGTTGATATCTATTTTGTAGAAGCATTGCAACTCCTTGCATGATAGCCCATTGAAGGAACAGTTGCACCCCTCTCCGCACACTACATGTACAGTCTCACTCATTAAAAAAAAAACAAAAATAAAAACAAAAACAAAATTTCAATATGCACTTAAGAAGGATAATAACCTGCCTCTGGGTCTCCCAAGTGAGACTGATAAGTGCCATGGCCATAGCGAAGTAGTGATGTTTTATCCACCTACATCAGCACAAGTGCAAGCATTAACATATTCTGTGGTTGTATGCATATTAATCTAGGAGTAGGAGGCAGATAAGAATCACACAAAAAAATCAAATGCATTTTCACATTTTCATCCAAGTTCTGACACAATTCGGAAAATAAAGAGAAGGAGCCTGCCAGTTGAATAAAAAGCATGATATGAGTCCAGTAATATTGAACATGGCAGAAATTCACTGGAATTAGAATGTAGCTGCTGCTACTGCATATAAGAGAACAAGATACTGCCAGAAAAACTCAATTTAACAAAATTAAACATGTCTTTTTGGAGTCAACTGAATGAATTCTTTTGCAACATGCAGCTCCATCTAGAGTAATATCCTCCTTTCATTATTGACAACCATTATTTTTCTCATATACTCTACCCTCGGTTCATTTTCTAATTCATTGCAATATGCAGTTTGACAACACACTGTATAAATTCATTTACTGAATATCATGCTATAATTTTAAGCATTGAAGTCAAAAGATTCTTCTGGCAACTCTATTTTATAGCATAAATTCATTGCCAGTAAAATTGCATATTCACTTTCCCTCCTGAAAGGCATGGGAGATGAAATTACTAATGTCTGACTATGAAAATATGTTTTAAAAAAATCTCAATCACAAATACACAACTAGTTTGAATGATGAAGAATAAAGGCAAGGCAATCTTAGCACAAAATTCAACCAAATGCATATAAGATCATATCATATTACCATGGGCGAATATCACTTCCATTCACTCAAAGTATGTTCTCTCGCAAAGCCAAACCTGTGTAGAGAATTAACAACCATGCCTGAAAATAATATGCTCATTACACTTAGAAACAAAAAAACAAAAGTATAGTGTAAACAAATCAAAAAGTTAAAATTTCCTTAAAATATCAATACGAGTTACAAAACTTCTTCCCATACAAAAGTACCTGGTAAAGCTGAACAGACAATGCCAATAAGCATCCACCCCATAACCACGACCTTAACACAAGTAGCAGTGATGGGAAAAAAAGAAATAGAAACGCAGTTCTATCCTGTCCATGATAGTGTTGCAAATTATGAATTAGAATCTCTAGTATATTGTTCTAACAAGTAAAGTAAGTTATTAATCAATGATTTAAGAATTGCATGAGTACACATTGAGAGTAGATAGAATCAAAATACACACAATGTAAAGATACAAGCCAGATCCTAAACGGATACAGGAATCCAGGAGGACCAACAAAAATCCTGTAGTCAACAACTTAACATAGAAGCCTCCTCCATGTATAAGAAACCTCCCTCCCACTTTGTCAATAGAACCCATACCTCCGGTTCCTTTCATACTAACCTAAGAATACCACCAAGTAGCAGTAGAAAGGTCAATTATATTTGTCTTCTAACATCCAAGCCTTTTACCACCAGTAGCCAACTAAGAATACCACCAAGTAGCAGTAGAAAGGTCAATTATATTTATCTTCTAACATCCAAGCCTTTTACGACCAGTAGCCAACAAAACAGCATAGATATATCTGAAAAACACCCATAGAAGTTTTTTATTTAAAAAAATTCTAACAACCTCAATCATTATTTCACAACACACACAACAATAAAAAATAAAAAATAAAAAATTCTACTTTCAAGGAGTAACATTTACAATCGCATTCAGCATGCTTATGGCCAAAGAGTGATAAGTATATATATTTTTTATAAGTAACATTATTAATAATCTGTAAAGTGAGTGCAAACTGAGTATGCATCTTCCAGTTGGTGATGAACACAATAATCAGGACTTAAAAAGGTCTGTTGTGTTAAGTCACCAATTTTCCCAAAAGCATGGTATTAGAGTTAAGGTTGAGCAAGGTCTTAAGTTCAAAACTCTCTATTGGCATTTGGTATTCAGACCCCATTTGGTTTCGTGTTCTCTATTTGGTTGTTTGAATCTCCTTATGTTTGGTTCTTTGTCTCTCCACATGCAAGATGGAGTTGCATGTGAAGGAGGGTGCTAGATAGCACAATTTACATTGTTAGGCCCATTTCCTAACAGCTTTAAGCTTTTGGGAAATTGGTGACTTTTAGCATGTTGCTTTCCACGCCACTCCTCTAGTCCTCTCCTCTTCACAACCAACCACCCTGTCCACCTATCAAATGCCTAGACCATCGATTCAACAATAATAGCAGGGCCATATTCCCATTCAACTTCTCCAAAGCCTCTATTGCTTTCTCCTCCATGGATGGGCCCCTTCCCAATCAATCTTGTTTCTTTACCTAAACCAAAATTACTTTCGTCAAATTTGGCTGCCACTCTTTTGTCTCAAAAAAACTAACGATGCATTGTCCTTAATGTAAAAAATAAAATCAAAAAGTTAAGGAGATTATCTTAAATGATTAACCATGTCTATATGTGCCATTGGCTGCAAGGGGTTAGCGCCAAAAGCACAAAGGAAAAAAAATACAGACGAAAAACTAACTAATCCTAAAAGTAACATTATTTTGAATAACATGCACAAATCGGGTCATCAGAATGATTTTGATCAATTATCTTGAACAACTTTTTGAATGGGGTAAAGAAGTTGGAATCATTGATCTCTAGTTATCTAAAAACTACGAAAAGGGTGTTTTTGGTTTCTATAACACGTCACAGCAAATGAAATACAAAATTCCAACAAAATCTCCACAAAAGAAAAGATAAAATTGCATAAGATAATATATGTACTAGCAGTTCGCTCTTTGCATGTTTCTCCACACGAAACTATTAACGAAGTTTTTTTTTTCCTGCTCTTTTTTCCATTTCTTATTTCCTTCTCATACAAGATCCCCAGGATGCTTATCATGAAATACAACCCAAATTATTCGAAAGGAATTTCCAAACCTCACACATGTGGGAACACTGTAGCAATCAAAAGCAAATACTACATAGTATCAACATAAATAAATTATATATAACCACGTATATCAGTATAACCAATTGCCCTATTTTTGTTTCATCATAGAGTAACAGAAAAAGGCGTCATTTCAATACATTATGTAAACAAAAACATAGACGAACTACTCAATTCTTGATTCAACATCACACCCAATTTTCAAACAACACAATTCAAATAATTTTGGTTGAAACTCATCAAATTGTATGAATCGAATCGTGCATCATACAATTCTAACACCATACTAGTTGGAACATGTAGAAGTCGTGTCAACAGAATAATTTTGATCTTTTACTCATGAAATACGATATCCATTTCCAAGGAATTGTAGCAATACAAGTAAAATTATTCTTGAGTGATAACTGAGATTAGAAATTACCTGGCAATTGACTCTGCTAGCTGGTGTCAAAAGCAAGACAAGATCTACTTCCAGATCAGGTTGAAGATATGCATGCATGCCCATTACCTTCTATCTCCATGCCCATGTCATCTTCCAAAGAATCACGCTCCGCAGCACAACATGGAAATGGATAAATGAAAAACATAAAAACCAAAAAAACTTGCGCCCAATTTAGTCTCCATTTCCAAGCAATGGAAGCAATGTAAGTGAAGGAATTCTTGAGTGATAACTGAGATTACCTAGTTGTTGATTTAGTGCTCAGTTGAGGAATTCTTTAGTCTTTATCACTTGTGTTACTATTCGCTACTCAGTTGCCATTGAATAAAAAAAGGTCCACATTTATCTCCCAAAAAACACATGGATTTATTATATATAGCCCAACAAACATCAATTATGTAGCAACTACTATCAGTAAACTACTAACTTAATCCTATTCTTTTTCCATTTTGTTTTTTGTTGTTGGTTAAGTAAGAAAGCCAATTTGTAGACATAAGTAATAATTCAAAAATAGAATACTACTCATGCCAATTAATTTCTCAATTTTCTCTTCACACCTGGCTCTAAGGATTTGCAAAGCACACAAATTTGTATCCTAAAATGCCAACTACTGAAGTTTAATTGTTCTGCAGGCTAGGCATAAGCTCTCTTCTAGAGGGGGTATTTCCCTTGGCATGTCTTGAGCTTCATTGTAAATCCCCTTTTATGGCAATAAAAACTTACCCCCGAAAAAGCATACCATGACGAACAATGCCTACGTGCCAGAGAAGCCGAGAAAAGGAAAACCAACAAATATCAACTATATTCAAAATAAAAAAATTCAGTTTTCCAACTAGTACCAAGCATATAGATTTTGAATTTTTGAACTCTTTTTAATTGAGGCATTTCGAAATGGCCTATTTCACTAGTTCAATAAATCAATGGAAGGAAAATAACAAGGTGCAACTGTTAATAAAGTAGAACTTCAATTGGTGAACAATAATGCTAGACCCCAAATGTTCTAGCAAACACTCACATGCGTGTTGGTCCCACAACACCCATGTGAGTGGTAGATTTTTTTGTATCCCTAGGCATTTTGCTTGTTGGTGAAATGAGGCAAGAGATGAAAGTCACAAAAGAAAGACATGAAAAAGGAGCACAATGTAACTACTAGGGAATCCAGAAAAACAAACTTACTTGGTAAGTCAATGAGAGATGGAAATAGCTGAACAAATGACCCAAGAGACATCAATGCTGGAAACACACTTAGAAATGATTTTTCAAATCTGCATCAAAAGAGAAAACAGAAAAAAAATATATGTATGAAAGTAAGTAATGCCCTTCACTACAAATTGAGTCCACAGTATCTCCGAAAGCATTCTTTTAGATCCTCCTTTTTGAAATTAAACATATGTGTTTAGTTGTCAAAATTTCCGTTAGGCTCAATTAGTTTTAGTACAAAATTACTATACCATATTTTGTTCCAACAAGGTCGAGAAGGTGCATAATAACTTTAAACATACAAAATAAGATGTGGCATCACATAAGCAACAAAATTTATTTCTGAAGTAGCATTGACAGGACAAAATAAAATAAAACTACAATTATGAATACCAATATATGAAGGGTCTTGTTAACAAGTGTCCCGGGGACACGAAAAGTAGACCAAAAAATAAAGTAGACCAACTTGCAGAGGCCCCTTGAACCAAGAGTTTCAATGAACCTCACCACCAGTTCTCTAGCATTGCCTTGTTTCCCATCAAACTTAATAAACTTGGGCACTGTATACCCAGTTGGGTATGCAATGGTCAATATCTCCTGAGAGTATAGGGCCCTCACATCGAGTCAGGGAGAGATGGGAGTTGCTTCTTGCTATGCTCTTGCTCGAGCATAGCTTGTACATCGGCTAGAGTAAAAAAGTGAGTGGGCTGGAATGGTCCAGTCTGTTGCTGGGTAGCTGAACCAGCGGCCGCACCGTTCGCCTGAAGTACCCCCGGAGGCACCTAGATCGGAGCCCGAACCTCAAGGAACAGGTTAGAGGTTAGGCACTGAGTTTCGGACTACTACAGGCGGAGTTGCTTGCACTGGAGCTGGTCGAGAAGCCATGGCCATAACAGCCTCAGTGAGAGTTTGCAAAGCAGCCAGGATCTCCCTCTGTGTATCCTGCAGTGACTGAACTGCCTCAATCACAACACTGTGGTCACGGTCCTCCGCATGTGCTACTTCGCCATTTGAAGAGCCTTGCTGAACTTCATCCTCTGCCATTTTTTTTCCAGTGAAGTGTGTAAACCACTGTGGGTATGAACCATCAACAAAGCAGCCTCCCCAGTGGAGTGGCTAGAAATGTAAGGGGGTTCGAGGTTAGAAAAGGTAATTAGAGAGGCAAAACTATGCTAATGGTCCAAGAATGGTGGAAGTGGCTTGAGAATGAGCAGCAGCAACTGTCTGGAAGTTGGAGAGTGTGCAGCCGGGTGAGGGTGAAGCAAGTAGCTCAAGAAGAAATGTATGGCAGTGCCAAAATGGG